AAATAGGGATTATCGACCCATTTTGAGAGGGCCCTTGGAACTTGCCAAGGCGTCTAAGGAGGTAGTGGGGTCCCGGCTTTCGAGAGGGAGCATGGTCCACCAAATCTTGATCCATTTATACATGTACAAGAGTGCAAGAGGGAAAACGTGGCATCGTCGTTTTGGGATACAGTAAAAACCGGGCAGGGGTACAAAATGTAATCATGCGCTCCGTGACTCGTCAGTCTCCGTAATCAGCACAGTACTCGTACCACGTGTTGGTCGTGGCACTGCCACTGGTGCTTTTTCAGAGCTCAATTTACTACCTTCTTCCTACTGCTAGTGTACTTCCGAAGCCCCTTACAACCATGAGGTCATTCGCTCCCACTGGCCTTGGACTGCTGCTCGCCTTCGCTCACAACGCAGCCGATGCTGCTCTGCCAAGGAAGTTGCAGCGTTGATTGACTGTGACGTGGTGGTCACTGTCCAATGGCATGGCAGTGACCAGCCACGTCAATTACTTGAGTTCAGCTGGTCAGATTATTCTGATCAGCGTAAACTTAAGATCGCGTGTCTTTAGATACTGCTATTGCTGCTGCGTTATGTATACAAGCAACTGCCGCATGGACATGGTCTCAGGTCCAGCCGCATCTTGAGCAGCAGCAGTAGCAGGGGAGGCAGACTTAGCCTGTGCATTGGCACTGGCCCCTTCACTTGACGCTTGCGATCTTGTATTTGTTCGCATCGTGGGTTGAATAGCTTCAGCGTCGCTTGGAGCACTAACACGGCTCTGATGACGAGGCCGAGGGTTCGGTGACGGGCGCTCAGCTGCACGACTCCTTCTTTTAGCCATTACAAGCTGGACTTCTTAGCGCAAGTCTTTTAAGATACCAGAACCCTAAACCGAAGTTAAACGAAGCGAAAAAAAAGGTTCCGATTAAAGTTCCTTCCTACAATCTACGTTTCTTGTCTACGTGGATGGAGTGATCAAAAGATCCTTTAAGAATTTCTTGGGTTTGCTCAATACGTTTCTTAAGCAATTCACTGAAGTCGTGAATGACGTTCCGGGCGCTGCGTCCTTGGAATCCGGAATTTCGTTTCAGATCCGGCGGACGAGCTTAAATTGCTTGACCGTTGTTAGCCACAAGTCCAGACGAAGCTGATCGAGCTGCTTGTGTCGATCAGTCAAGGACTTTGTGCTGTTTACAAACGGATCTTCGGGTTGGCGAGTCTTTCGTATACCCCTAAACAAGCACGCTGAAACAGATGCAGTAGCAACGGATGTAGATCAAGCACAACCAGTGAGTATCTTTTTAGTGAATGCTCACCAAAAGCAACCGTGACGATTCACGGATTACCGCATTACATAATGTGTATAAGGTCTGCAACCAGTTTCGTGTTTCTTACCAGCTTCGTATCGCATTTTTCTGACCAATCAAGTTGTAGAGATTTAAGGACAATTTGATTGGTAAGAACGGCATGTCTCATCCGGTTATGTGATCAAAGAGAAGATTTAAGGATGGGGCTTATTACAAGCAAGTCAAAAGGGAAAACCTTAGATTTAAACCAGGCAACTTTACCAATCACATAAGATCTAAAATGTTGAAAAAAGGGCATCCAAGAAACCTATGTAAGATTAGAACAGCCGTGCAAGGTCATTACTATCGATAGAGTAGTCATCTGAGATAACAATTTTATTAATATTACTACTGTTATGATTGACATATTTCGACGCCTCACCGCTTTGATAACTGCACGTAGCAAATTCTGCTTCAGTGCAGAATTAATCTTGACTTTTCGGGTCGCGATGGAGTACGACTGGCATATGTTTCAGTGGAGAATGTTTGGTCGACCACGTGATGACAGCTCAAACACACCAGTCATGCTGAATTCTGCCCCAGTGCACAATTTGTCTCGGCATTTCTTTTTTGGTTTTTGTTTCTTGAAGCCTCACAACTAGACTACTAGCCGAGCGCCACCGCTACGCCGCGTAAGTTTGGATTTAATTATATTTGTTTATGCCTGTCCGCCTCCGCTACGCTTGAAGGCTATGTGCCTAAATCGAGTTTTCATAAATCTGGGTATAATTTAGATTGACCAGAAGCCGTGCAATTATTTATTCAAAAGACTGAGCCCCAGCATCTAGCCTACCCAATTAAAATGGCCTGTCCAGCTTGCACTAATTACACACTTGCACTGCCCGTTTAAGCTTGTAAGTAACTAAAGGTTGATTAATCCTTATACCAACCTCAATGAAAGCTAAAACATGTTCAAATCGAAATATTTTTATGCATGCAGCGTTCC